CCCCAAAACCCCAAAACCCCAAAACCCCAAAACCCCAAACCTCAATTCTATATTGAAAATTATATTCTTCGAAAATTAATACACACTGTAAGTAAATGCCAGGGCGAGCTTCAAGAAGAAAGGTTCAGCGTAAGGTTTTGTAGTGCTCCATATGGAGGTGAGGAAGGAAGAGGAGTTTTGGACAGGGGGTGGGGAAGGAGGGGTGGAGGAGGGGGATTGGGGGCTGGTGGGGAGGGATTTTGGGAGGTGGTGGAGATAGGTTTGGAAGAGGGATTTGGTTGGAGTGGTGTCTTGGGCTATAGAGGTGGAGGTATTGTGGAGAGAGCTTACTTGTTTTAGTAAGGGTTAGGTTTGAATACTTGCTTGTGTCAGGGTAAAGTTTGATCATAACTTCTCTCAAGGGGTTCTTATAAGCTTCAGTCTCGATAGTTAGTCTTCTATGTTTATTGATTAGATCTTGGCTGCTATCTCTAAACTGGTGAAGACCAGTTTCTAGATCAGTGATGTTATAGCTAGTAATCTTGAAGAAATCTCTGACATTTGAGCTGCATCTAAAACCAGAGTTAGATAACCAAGAAGAGTTGTACTGAAAAAGGCTTACTGGATAGGATCAGTATTATTCTGGGCAGCCCAAGAAATGACGCTGCTGGGGCGGTATTCAGTAGAGTTTTTGGTAGGATCTGGGATGATAGGGTATTTCAGCTGAGACAGGTTGGCGATGATTTTGATGGGATTGAACTCATAGGTTTTTGTAAAGTTTAGTTTGCAGATTTCAGGGAGATAGGATTTAAAGTAAGTGGTGTTCTCTTTTATTGCTTTATACTCAATTTTTGTACAGTATTTAGTGGAATTTTGTATAGTAATATTTACAGGATCTCTAGGAAAGTCGGGTATAAAATTTCTCCTGCGCTGACTATTTTTCTTAAAATCTATAACAAAACATCAGATAAAAATTTGGTAGACAAACTAATATTTTCTAATTATTTCGGATTTATTGGATTATCTTACCATCATAGACTCCACTAAGAAGCCCAATGAAAATAAACAAGAGAATTATAATTGCAAAAGTGATCATGATACATCCAAAGCAGGATACTCTCCTCATCCCATAATCATAATCGCTTCCAATTGAACTTTCAGATTTCCAACTTTTGACAGAATCAGTAGTGCTATCTTTTAGAGTAATTTCAGCTAAATTTAGTAGTAAAAACTTACAATCAAAAGATGAATAGCTTTCTTCCAAGGATTTGAGGTTATCTTTTGAAATCATTGTGTTGTTCTGTGTATGAGACTTGGTGCTATCTTCTTTATTTTCTTCTAGAGGGCTTTTCTCTATCTCTGAATCATGCAAATCACTGCTCTGAGAAATTGTATCTTCATTCTCTTCACTTTCGTCATAATTAAAATTTTTTGTTTCTTCCCTTCCTTCCTCATACTCCTTTTCCTCTTTATCCTCCTTCTCTGGCTCATCCTTCTTCTCTTGCTCATCTTCCTTCTCTTGTTCATCCTCCTTCTCCTCTTGAGCATGCTTTTCCTCTTCCAAATCTCCCTCCTCCTTTAAACTCTCACTCATCTCATCCTCCTGACTCTCTTCTTCCTGATACATACTCTCAATCACACTCATTCCTCCATTCATCCTGCTCAACACCACCTTCGCTCTCTTAATTTTCTTCTCTACATACTCCTTCAGATCCTTCTGACTAATCCTAGTAACCTCTTCTCTCTCACAGACTTCTTTCATCAAATCTCAACTCTTCTTTCTCTTCACTATAGAGTCTTCATCTACTGAATCTCCTTCACTTAAGCAATCTTTGATTTGAGAGACTAAAGAATAAGACATTAAGCTAAAATAAGTAGGAGACCAACTGCCGATTGTTGAACAGTATTCTAATAATTATGGTTTTGTACAGGGAATTACTGGCTGAATTATTGGGGATATGCCAGCAGTGGTGCAGTAGGGTCTAAAATAGGTGCGGAAGTGAGATTTGGCAGTAGTGTTATTAAATCCATCTTCTACCAAACCACTATAAACCCTTAACTCAAGACTCTCTCTCACAAAAATCTATTTTAATAAATTTCAAAATTTCCATAATGTTCAAATCCCCAAACAAAAATTCCTTCGCTTACCCTCCTTGCCCTTACTACCCATACAGCCCTTCTCCTGCAGTAGCTGCAGCCCCTTTCCCTTAAAGTCCAACTACCAGTGCTAAGCACAGGCTTGGCTTAGAGCTAAGTAGGAGAGGCTAGCCTAGCCCTTGGCTCTTCCAGGAGGGATTGAGAATTGTGTAAGGATAGGAGAAAGTTGGGATTTGGAAAAGAGTGGATAGGAAGATTGGGAAATGGGTAAATGGTGTTTATTTTACTTACAACCAGAGTCTATGTAATGTTCTCTTTGGAAGGGATTTTTGCAACTCATTCACTTGAGTCTTTTTAGTACTCTAAGGGCAAGGTGATGCTTGCAGTACTTGGCTTTGCAGCTTCCACACATCTCAGGTTTTTTTGGGACTCTTTGGCAGAATGGACACACAGATTTTTGTTGTCTAAAGTTTGCAATAAATTATTTTTACTTACATCTCATTAAATCTAGATTCTCTATAAGGATCATTATCCTCTATCCCTGAGGAATAAATGCACACATCACTGACAGGGGCATGTTGTGCTTTATTCTCCATACTTGAACTCCCAACTGGAGTTTTCTTTTCGGTCGAAAGTACTTCTATTTCAATCCTAAACAGGTTAACATTCTGCTTACTTTGTCTTCATTTTGTAATAAGTCTTTTTCGAGTAAATTTCAATTATTATTTTAATTATTGGGGTTTTGGGGTTTTGGGGTTTTGGGGTTTTGGGG